ACTGTCGCCTGCATCAGCACTTCATGGAGTAAGGTCAGTGACGCAAGGGCACAGGATGTCCTCCAGAACCCCAACAGAACAAGGGCCAGACCGAAGCCCTGAAACGTGGCAAAAGAGTCTGGCATGGTTTGACCCCGGGGAGCCCCTGCCAGCCCCTCATGCCCGTCTCTCCCTTGCCTCCAGACTCACAGCCTCCTTCTTACTCTAGGATCTTTCTCAGGGCCAGCGTCAGATTTGAGTCTCATCCACCTCCAGGCTTCATGTCCAGCACCTGTCAGACAGCACCTCAGATGGGGGATCTGATTCCAGGTCACACCATGCCCTGGCCAGGGCATTCTCTGAGTCAGGGTCCTGAGCACATGAACAGCTGCCCAGCACTGCCTGACTTCTGCTTTCCTCGGGGGACCCACCTACGCCCTTTGCACCTGCAGATCCTCCTCTATCCAGACTGCTGTGGGCACAGTGGAGATGCGCCTTCCTCCCCTTCACAGACACCAGCTGCCCTAGACAGCAATGGATCTACACAGCCCTTGTTCTCCTTGCTCCGAACATGATATGAAAAGATGCTTTGTGGTTGTCAGCTCTCCTCAGTAGGCTCATTGCATGCCCGGGCTCTCGCCCCCTGACACTCTTTAGTGGTCCTCGTCACTCGTCATTGTGAGTGTCCTGGGGAGGGCTCCTCTTGTCCTCCTTGGCCCCCATCCCTCTGACCTCAGCAAGACATCTTTCTGAGCCACACAGATGTCTCTCATTGCCACCAATGTCCTTCCTACTTGAAAAAAGCAGATTTAATTTCAGGACTCCCCCACCACTTTCAGAGCTCTTGCATCATGGGGAATGAAGTGATGATCTTCAAAACTTACTGAAACAGAGCTCCCCAAGTCTACAGGGGATCTTACTATGCTGGCCCTCCCCACCAACACAGAACTCATCTCCCCAAGGCTCTCAACCCACTTGGGTCACCAATCAGGATCCCCTATTACTGAGCTCCGCAGGTGTTGCATCCTGGGAGATGAAGCGTCACAACCCCATGGTGTTAAGAGCTTGTGGTTCTCGGTTTATTACCCATCACCTGGGCCCTGACTGTACACCGATCATTCCCTCATTTTGGAACCACTGGCCACATTCTCCCACATTACCTGTCTGTCTATACCTTAACCAGGTTGTCTTATGTAACCTTCAAGCCTTCCATCCAAAACAGACGTTAAGTGCACAGGCTCCAGGGTCAGAGGCCTGGACTCCAATCCAGCTCTGCTCTATCCAACCTGTGACCTTGGGCAAGGTATGGATGCCTCTGTTTTCTGATCTGTAAAGAGGATTACCTTGGTGCGCTCTTCACTGGGTTGTTGGAAAGATTAGAAGGATTGATACAGAGAAAATGCCAAGAAGCCTAGCTCAGTAAACGTAAGAGGGATCAGTTCTTATCACACTGAGTGCAAAGGGACAGAGTCCACCCCATGGCGGCCTTCCCGTTACTCCTGAGCTCTCAGTGACCAGCACCCAACAGTGGTTAATGAATGAACGAGCAGCCTGGGCATTGTTCTCCTTCCCACTCTACCTACAGAGCAAAGAACTCTTGGCAAACAGCTGGATGACTGTTTTTTCCTGAGATGTCTGCAGGCACTTCCTGCCCCAAGCCAACTGGCCAGCCTCCAGCTGTTCTGAGCTGCAGGTCAGGCACCAGATCTTATTCAGAGACACCATGTACTCCCCACCCCCCACGCAGTGCTTTGCTGCATCTGCCTTTCTCTTGAGTTAAAACATGCAAGAGCAGAAAATACCTTGTCTTCCAATCCTTTGGTGTCCCTAGTCTCTGGAGAAGCTCCCCAGATCCTTTTGGAATATTCCAGGGACAATCATCTACAGGCTTTTTCTGCATTTTGATTGTGAGGTCCTGGGGTTTCCTAAGAAAGGGGGTACACCTGTCTCCAGGCATCCCCCTGGCTCTGGCACACTGAGGAAATTCAACACTGAAGGTGATCCAGGCTTTCCCAGAGGTTGGCTTGTGGTGCTGGGGTGATGAGCACTTCCTGGCCAGCCCTTACAGGCTCTGTGGCTGGTTATGCCTGGACCCCTCTAGCAGCAACACCTGTTGCATTCCAGCAAAGCCAAGTGCAGGAGACCGAGGACACGGCCACTCCCCATGGCAGCAGGGAGGGCAGCCCTAGGACAACATAATTTGGCCACGTGGACCCTCATGGAGTGGATGTGATCCCATCACCCACTCAGATGCCTGAGACTGTGCAGAGGGCACATTCAGTGCTTCAAGGGGCCCTGCTGTGTGGATGGAGAGCCTGCCATGGACATACTGAAGATGACCAGGACATACAACAGGGAGCTGCGTTCTGTCAAACAATGCCAATAGGCAATGGCTGGTGCCATGTGGAGTGATATTTTAGATATTACATGTGCCAAGGCTGCAGCAACATGGAAGTCACATAACGGGACCGAATTAGCCCTGGTCACTCAGGCTCCAGGGCACAACTTGTGTTCCAGTCAGCCCTGCCACTCACTACCTGCCTGACCTGGGACAAGCACTCTGGGCCTCCATCTCTTCATAAGTAAAGCAAGAACGGTGATGTTCACTTCAGGGGCTGGCGGACAGGACTCGGCAGGGCTCTGTGCATGCCAGGTAGCAAGAGCATAAGGAACGGCAGCTCTCTTCCTGATACAACCAGAGAACAAAGGTGGAGCCTGAGAGGGTGGTCCCAATTTCACTGGCAGCCTTCAGGAAAAAAGTCCATGATTTTACTTAGGCTACTTCATCCGACCTTCCCAGATTCCAACAATAGCATCTTCTAAGGATAAAAACACAGTGGCGTTCTTACAGAGACACAGACCACTAATGAATAAAAATAAGCTTAAAAGTATTGAAACTTGACTTATTTTTTAAATAATTGGTGTGAATATCTGTTTCAAACAAAAGTTGCCACCTCTTGGATGTCTGAAAAGAAATCTGACATGCAAAGCAGACATGATGATTCTAAATCATTTGGAAAGCCTATTATCCCTCCCCTCAGAATCCTCATACACTGGGGATCAGGGATTAGATTAGATTAGAAAAAAGCAATTTCACTTTTTTTTTTTTTTTTTGAGATTGAGTCTTGCACTGTTTCCCAGGCTGGAGTGCAATGGCGGGATCTCAGCTCACTGCAACCTCTGCCTCCCAGGTTCATGTGATTCTCCTGCCTCAGCCTGCCGAGTATCTGGGATTACAGGCACACAACACCACACCTGGCTAATTTTTGTTTTGTTTTGTATTTTTAGTAAAGATGGGGTTTCATTATGTTGGCCAGACTGGTCTCGAACTCCTGACCTAGTGATCCAAAGTGCTGGGATTACAGGCACGAGCCACCATGCCCAACAGACAATTTAACTTTTTAAGCTAGAAAAAAAAGCCTCACAAATCACAGTTTCATGCACATACCTATGAATTTGTCCAAAATTCTTTGAATCTAGCATATGCAAATTTTTTCACTGAACACAATACAATGTGTTCCTTCATCAAATTTAATTTCTGTTTAATTCTTTGTGATTTATCTATGATGGAATTTCCATTTCTGTATCAATCAAAAGTTAAATTAGTTGAATTTTCATTAAAAGTCATAATAAGCTACAATATCAGGTTAAATTATTTCCAAGAAGCGAAAGCTTCATGCTTTGTTGGTATTCAGAAACAAATAATGGCTCTTTTATAACTTAGTGTATATATATTATGTATTTGTGTGTATTTGCACATATAAATATATATGTTATAAAATATCATTAAAAATTAAATCACATCTCTCTGACACGTTTATATTTTAATCAAGAAATGAAAAATTGTCTCGATATAGTTCTATGTTTTCCCTCAAAAATGAATGAGGCTTGATTTTCTAGAGTTCATCACTTCTGCATCTACGACAATCTTTGACACTAACATGAAATACCTTCCCCTTGGCCCTCCTACCTAATGTACATAAAATCATTAATTTCAAAATGCCATAATTACTGCCATAAAATGTCTAATGTCTCCCTCAGGAGTAATTAAGTAACTTCATTTCTGCACATCGGTGGCATTGGCAACTACATATTTTAGAGATTTACTGTTAATTTCTTATTTCCAAGCTCCCTCAAATGTTTCAAGTGCAAAGTCCTGGCCTCCCACTGTCTTCCCACAACACTGCTCTGAATTCTGTCCCTTTCCTCCCCTGCACCTGACATTGCACACCCTGCCCGAAGGCAGGTGTGGGTGGGAACGCCCCCTAAATGCTTCTGCAAGGCTTAGCTTCCTGTTGTGCTGTCTGTGTCTATTAGTAAAGGCAAAATGTCAAGGAAAGGATTCAATCAACCCCTTGTCTCTAAACCCAGGTATGTTCTTTCAGCTCATTCTAAAAACTCATTATAATGAGATCATTGGTATTTTCCCCCCAGGAAAGGCAGTGAGCAGGTTACATGCCCAGATCTTTGGATATAATCTGTTGGAGAAAGGATCTGGGGCCAATGCATGGTTCTTATCCTACTGCCCAGCCCAAGCCTGGGCTGAGAATAAAAGAGCAATACAGGATAAACCCAGGGAGGGACAGAGGGGGGGATGAAAAGAACTGCAGCCTGAAAGTCACCCTAGGAGAAAAAAAAATCATAGGCAGAATTCTTGAGTGCTGAAAAGCCAACGGGGAGAGGGAGAAGGTAGGGGAGGAGAATAAAGAAAGAGAGGGAAAGAGGGATGGGGGAGAGAGGGGGTGGAGAGAGAGAGAGAGAAAATGAAAACAGGAAGACAATAAAGAGGAGATAGAGGAGAAAAAGTGGGAAAAAAGAAAGGGAACAGAAACGGGGTTGGGACTCGGAGAGGACGTGGGAGAGAGCTGGAGGAAGCTGGCGACAGAGGGAAAGAAAGGACCCCACAGTCAAAGGCAGGACTCAACAGCCCTGTCCTGGGGAAATGCAGTGGAAGCGAGATGGACCCCGCCGCCCGCGCCCGCTCGCGGCTCTGTCACTGCAGACAGGCGGGGGCGCCTCACCTGGGCTCTCCGGAGAAGTGGGGCACGGGGCGCTGGTGCAGTACAGCCTCCTCCGGGCCCAGAGCCCAGCGCGCGGCTCTGAACTTGGCGCCGGAGCCCTGAGGGTGGCCAGGTCCCGCCCCACAGCTGCTCCCGCCTTCGGGGCGTGGCCTCGGCGTCTCCAACCCCCAGGGAAGCTCCAGCCTTCGGGGCGGGGCTTGCGGGTGGGCGGCCCTGGAGGGGGAGGGCGCAGCGGATCGGACCACCCGCAACGCGGGAGAAAAGTCGGTCTCATCTGCTGGGCGGCCCGGCCCTCCCCGGGTTCAGCCCCGTGGAGACGCCCCCAGCTGGCTCCTGTTGAACCCGACTCCGGCGCCTGCGGAAGGGCTAGGGCGTCCTTTGGAGGTATCACCCGCTCCCGCCGCCGCCCTCTGGTCCTGGGCGCCCCGACCTCTCGCTACTGGCCCCGCGGGGCCTCCGCGGTGCGGGCGGGGGCTGTTCCAGGTGCCCGCGGCTCCCGTCTGCACAGAGGACCCGTGCGGCCTCCTGGCCTTCTTTCCCCTCGTAGCGTGGCGGCCCCTAGAGCAGGACGTCCCCAGCGCCCGAATCACCCAGCTCCTCCCGGAGCGCCTGGCCACCTCTGCTCCCTAGGCCCCAGCTCTGACCGCGTAGCGCTCAGCCAGGAAGGCGGGCTCGGCGACCCCTGAACCCGAAGGTATCAGGGAACTTAACTGCCCCTGGAGGGTGGAAGGGGGTCAGGGTGGAAAATGACAGTTCAAGTGCGTTACAATTAAGAACGTATGCTTTGATTAAAAAACAATAAACGGAGTGAAAAAGCCAGCCACACATTGAAAGAAGATATTTGCAGCAATTGATAAAGGATTAGTATCCAGGATATATGAAGACTTTTAATAAAATAGTGTGAAAGAGAGGAACACCCAAAGCAAAGAATGGACACAGCCATGAATAGGCACTTCAAAGAGGAACCTTGAATGACCAAAATCACGTGAACGGATAAGTTTCTAGAGTAATTAGAAAATGCAAATTAAGACCACAAAGAGATGTTTAATCATTAGGCATAAATATTAAAATATAACAATAACAAGTTCCATGAAAGGCATGAAGCAAGAGAATCCTAATATGCTGTGGAGAAGTACACCCAATTTTACTGATTATAAAACACCACTAATTTAAGATATTCTATTACACTAAATACAACTCCAAAAGAGGGGGGGGAACTGACAACGAACCAACTCAATGCTTCTCATCACTTGTAATTTTTAAGTTATATAAAGTATATATTATCAGTCCATTCTCACACTGCTATAAAGAACTGCCTGAGACTAGCTAATTTATAAAGAAAAGAGGTTTTAATTGATTCACAGTTCAGCCTACTCGGGAAGACCTCAGGAAACTTACAATCATGGTGGAAAGGGAAGCAAACAGGTCCTTCTTCACACTGTGTCAGAAAGGAGAAGAATTAGAGAAGTGCAGAGTGAAGAGGGTAAAAGCCCCTCACAAAACCATTAGACCTCCTGAGAATTCACTCACTATCATGAGAACAGCAGGGGACAACCACCCTTGATTCAATCACTTCTCACTAAGTCCCTCCCCCTATACATGGGGATTACAATAAAGACTACAATTTGAGATTTGGGTGGGGAAACAGAAGCAGACCATATCATTCCACCCCCGGCCCCTCCCAAATCTCATGTCCTCATATTTCAAAACATAGTCATGCCTTTCCAACAGTCCACCAAAGTCTTAAATCATTCCAGCATTAACCCAGAAGTCCAAGTTCAAAGTCTCATCTGAGACAAAGGAAGTGCTTTCCACCTATGAACCTGTAAAATCAAAAGGAAGTTAGTTATTTCCTAGATACAATGCAAGAGCAGGCATTGGGTAAACACACCCATTCCAAACGGGAGAAATTGACCAAAACAAAGGGACTATAGGCCCCATGCAAGTTTGAAACCCAATAGGGCAGTCATTAAACCTTAAAGTTCCAAAGTGACCTCCTTTGACTCCATGTCTTACACCCAGGTGGTGCTGATGCAAAAGGTGGGCTCCCACAGCCTTGGGCAGCTCTGGCTCTTGATTTTTCAGGGTATGGCTCTTCTCCCTGCTGCTTTCACAGGTTGGCATTGAGTCCCTATGGTTGTTCCAGTCACACAATCCAAACTGTCAGTGGATCTACCATTCTTGAGTCTGAAGGGCAGTGGTCCTCTTCTCACAGGTTTACTAGATAGCGCCCAGTGGGGACTCAGTGTGGGAGCTTTAACCCCACATTTCCCTTCAGCACTGCCTTAGCAGAGGTTCTCCATGAGGGCCCTGCCCTTGCAGCAAACTTCTGCCTGGGCATCCAGGTGTTTCCATACATCCTCTCAAATCTCTAGGCAGAGATTCCCAAACCTCAATTCTTTCTTTTTCCTGACACACAGTCTCACTCTGTCACCCAGGCTGGAGTGCAGTGGCACGATCTCAGTTCACTGTAACCTCTACCTCCTGGGTTCAAGTGATTCTTTTGCTTCAGCCTCCCAAGTAGCTCGGATTACAGGCACCAACCGCCATGCCAGGCTAATTTTTGCATTTTTAGTACAGACAGGGTTTCCCCATGTTGTCCAGGCTGGTCTTGAACTCCCGACCTCAGGTGATTCGCCATCCTTGGCCTCCCAAAGTTCTGGGATTATAAGCGCGAGCCACCATGCCTGGCCCCAAACCTCAATTCTTGATTTCTGTCTACCCGCAGGCCCAACACCATGTGCAAGCTGCCAACACTTGGGGCTTGAACTCGCTGAAACAATGGCCCAAGCTGTACTTTGGCCCTTTTTAGCCATGGCAGTAGCTAAAGCAGCTGAGACACAGGGCATCATGTCCCGAGGCTGCATAGAGGAGCCTCTATGCAGGCCAATGGGCTTGACCCACAAAAGCATTTTTTTCTCGGAGGCCTCTGGGCCTGTGATGGGTGGGGCTGCCGTAGGTCTCCAAGATGCCCTGGAGACACTTTCCCCGTTGTCTTGATGATTAACATTCATCTTCTTATTATGTATGCAAATTTCTGCAGTAGGCTTGAATTTCTTTAGAAACGAAAGAAAATGGGTTTTTCATTTCTATCACATGTTAAGGCTGCAAATTTTCTAAACTTTTATGCTCTGCTTCCTCTTGAACCCTTTGTTGCTTAGAAATTTCTTCCACTAGATACCCTAAATCATCTCTCTCAAGTACAAAGTTCCACAGATAGCCAGGGCGGGGGCAAAATGCCACCAACCTCTTGGTTAAAACATAGCAAGAGTCACCTTTATCCTAGTTCCCAATAAGTTCTTCATCTCCATCTGAGACCACCTAAGCCTGAACTTCATTGTACATATCACTATCAGCATTTTGGTCAAAGCGATTCAACAAGTCTCTAGGAAGTTCCAAACTTTTCCACATCCTGCCTGTCTTCTGAGCCCTCCAAACTGTTCCAACCTCTGCCTGTAACCCTGTTCCAAAGTTGCTTCCACATTTTTTTGGTATCTTTACAGCAGAAACCCCACTACTGGGTACCAATTTATTGTATTAGTCCATTCTCATGCTGCTGTAAAGAACCACTTGAGACTGGGCAATTTATAAAGGAAAGAGGCTTAATTGACTCACAGTGAAGCATGCCTGGTGAGGCCTCAGGAAACTTACAGTCATGGTGAAAGGGGAAGCAAGCACGTCCTTCTTCACATGATGGAAGGAAGGAGAAGAATGAGAAAAGTGCAGAGGGAGGTGGGGGAAAGACCCTCACAAAACCATCAGATCTCATTAGAACTGACTCACTATCACGAGAACAGCACACCACCCTCATGATTCAATCACTTCCCATGAGGTCCCTCCCTCAGCACGTAGGGATTAGAATTTGAATTATAATTCAAAATGAGATTTGGGTAGGAACACAAAGCCAGACCATATCATACACTTACTATAAATTTTCTAAAATTATATGCCACTCTTGTGCATACAAAAATGGAGAAAATAAAACTGATTACAGTATTTCTACAAATGTTTTATAATAACAATCTAACTTCTGAGTCCTGTTTGAATACCACTTGGTCGTGCCCATATTTTTTCACACAGTATACCATCTCTGCCATTTAAGCCCTGGTCATACAGCAGCTTTGACACTGGGGTGTGAACTAATTCCCACTCCTGCCCTAGAGTTGGGTCCTGTGTTTCCTCCCATTGACTCTTGGCAGCTGTGACTGCTTGGACTAATAGTGTACAGTGGAAGTGATGCTGTGTGATTCCCAAGGTGATGCCACAAAAGGCTGTACAATTTCTGCCTTGCTCACTGAAAATACTTACCCTTGGAACTTTGAGCCACCTGTTAAAGCCCAAGCACCCTGAAGCCGTCATGCTGGGAGGAAGCCCAGGTCACATGGGGAGGCCACATGCAAGGCCTCCATTCACGGTCCCAGCTGAGCCCAGCTTTTGAGTCCTCCTGCCCAGGAACCACACTTGTGAGTGGAGGAGCCTCTAGATAATTCCAGTGCCCTATCATTCAAGTCATATTGGGCTGTTCAAGCTTTCCCACTGGGGGCTCCAGACACGTGGAGCTCTCCCGACTCTGCCCTGAGTGCCTGATCCTTGGAACCTGTGATCAAAATAAAATGGGCTTTGTTCTTTGTCCCTAAATGTGGGGTGGTCTGGTGCACAGCAGTAGAGAACAAGAATGTCCCTCATTCAAAGGACACTGGTAACACTGCGGTTTCCATCTCTTTCTATGTCTGCCATCCCCTGGGGGGCTTCAGTATCACACAAATGACCTCTCACTGCCAACACTCTGGCCTCCCAGTTCTTGACCTTCTCGCACACACCTAAGTCACTTGGGCTAACTCTTCCAGTCAACAACAACAAAAAAGGCAGAATTTGGGTTTTAACGGACACTGTGAGGGCTGTTGTAAGGGAAATAGAGGTTTTGTCTTACAAACCCTCCATAGATCCTATGACTCCCCCTGGTGTTGCCAACGTGAAGGACATTGGGCAGAGCTGCAGGTCACAGAGTTACCTTGTCACCCTTCTGGCAGTCATAATGGAATTCGGTCCCTAGGGTAGGGAAAGGGCTGGACAGGTAACTGGAGGCAGGCCTCCCAGAGCCAGCTGCTGACCCTAGTGCCT